GAGGCGGGTGGATCACGAGGTCAAGAGATCGAGACCATCCTGGTCAACATGGTGAAACCCCGTCTCTACTAAAAATACAAAAAATTAGCTGGGCATGGTGGCGCGTGCCAGTAATCCCAGCTACTCAGGAGGCTGAGGCAGGAGAATTGCCTGAATCCAGGAGGCGGAGGTTGCGGTGAGCCAAGATCACGCCACTGCACTCCAGCCTGGGTAACAAGAGCGAAACTCCGTCTCAAAAAAAAAAAAGAAAAGTTAAACTTCCTAGCCTGTTGTTGATGGTGCCATGTAAATGTTCTGGATTGTTGTCAAATTTGAGAAACTGTCATTAGCCTTCTTTCATATGAGAACTGTGAAATTTGGAAGAATTTCCCACAGATGAACTTCTGGTTCCACACATTTCAAACCTTATTTTCCTTCCACGGCTCACGGTTTTCCCAGCACTGGGTGCCGTGGGGCATGTCCTTAAGGCAATAGGACTTTGCACTTCTGTCGCAGGATTTTCCTACGAGCCACGTTCCTAGTTTATTCTAGGACAAGACCAATAAGCTAACTTTACACAAGAGTGGAGCAAACCACATAAATATGTTCCTCTAAACCCGATGTGTCCCTGTGGTAGACTCACAGATATGCCACACGAAGGCCAGCTGCCAGCTGCTGTGGGGAGGGCCAGCAGACAGGTCCACTCTGGCTGTGCAGAGCCCCTATAGCCAGACTTCTTTGCCCAACCCTTTCCCTCCCTCCCTCAGGTGCTCGTCTCAAGAGACTCTTGTAAATATCTTGTACTCTGATCTTCCTCTTGGAGTCAGATTCCCAGAGAACCCAACCTGGAACCATCCTCAACTCACCTTTCCCTTGGCTGGACCCCGAAAATGCCACAACCTCTCTGATGTCCTCCAAGTGAGAAGTGGGCTGGAGTCAAGGACAGAGGTCCTAAGTGAGTGCTGTTAGATGGCTGTGTTTTTTGGGGTTTTTTGAGATGTAGTTTCGCTCTTGTTGCCCAGGCTGGAGTGCAATGGCACGATCTAGGCTCATCCCAACTTCTGCCTCCTGGGTTCAAGCGATTCTCCTGCCTCAGCCTCCTGAATAGCTGGGATTACAGGCATACGCCACCACGCCCAGTTAATTTTTTTGTATTTTAAGTAGAGATGAAGTTTAGCTGTGGGCCAGGCTGGTATCCAACTTCTGACCTCAGGTGATCCACCCACCTTGGCCTCCCAAAGTGCTGGGATTACAGGTATGAGCCACTGTGCCTGTCATTTTTTGTATTTTTAGCAGAGACAGGGTTTCACCATATTGACCAGGCTGGTCTCAAACTCCTGACCTTGTGATCTGCCCACCTTGGCCTCCCAAAGTGCTGTGATTATAGGCATGAGCCACTGCGCCTGGCCTATTTTTAAACTTATTATTTTTTAATGTACAGCAAAATACAATCAGGAGAATTTTTTTTAAAGAGGTCAATCTCTACTAAAAAGAAAAACAAAAAACCAAAAATTAGCCAGGAGTGGTGGCATGTGCCTATAATTCCTGCTACTTGGGAGGCTGACAGAGGCAGGAGAATCACCTGGGAGGCAGAGGTTACAGTGAGCTGAGACTGAGCCACTGCACTCCAGCCTGGGTGACAGAGTGAGACTCTGTCTCAAAAAAAAAAAAAAAGACAGGGTCTCATTATGTTGTCCATACTGATCTCAAACTCCTGGACTCAAGTGACTCACTTCGGCCTTCCAAAGTTCTGGGATTGTAGGCATAAGCCAGTGCAGCTGGCTGAAAAAGATTTTGACAGCAAGTATCCATCAGAAAGCCCAGGCATGCCGGGCGCGGTGGCTCAAGCCTGTAATCCCAGCACTTTGGGAGGCCGAGGCGGGTGGATCACGAGGTCAAGAGATCAAGACCATCCTGGTCAACATGGTGAAAACCCCGT